CGATTGTTTATGCCCTTGTTCGCGCTGTCGGCTGTGCTCTTATCTTCTCCGGTAAAAGCTTCGAAATTTCCTAAGTAATAGGATTAGTTGTTCCTGATTTCGAATCGGGGCTGACTTGCCCGGTTAGCTTGTCACTTTATTTACCTCCTATAGTCCTCACAACTAATTTGAGTGCCCTCATTGTCTTCCTAGCCCTGGATGCGTAAGACGGGTATTTTGCTAATGAAAGCAGATTGTAGCAGGGCACACGCCTATATCCGAAACAGACGTAAAGGCAGTGGGTCGGCTGTGTGTCATCTGTAGTCGCAATCGTCGATTTGGTAAAGCGTTAGTTTCATCCTTAATTTCATAGGTATTCTAGGATCGAGTCTGCTCATGAGGTCAATTATATCGAGCCAGCTGGAAGCGAAAGAACCTATCTTTACGGAATGAAAAAGTAGGATAATTTACTACGAGAGTGCAGAGATTTGCTTGCAAACTTCGCCAAAAAGAAGCCTTCTCCCGCATCAATAAGTTCAAACTCTGAACGAGATTCCGGAAGTCCACAGAAAAATGATTGCTAATTGCCCGAAGTGCTGTACATGTAATACGAACATTGTTTTTTTTTTAGAAGTCGGGTTTAATATCGAAAGTATAGAGCCTCTTGGATATGATAAGGAATCTGTCACTTGTGTTGCATTTGAAACTAATGATGGGTTAATACATTATTTTAGAAATCCAGTTCTTGATTCAAAAAAACTCACACATGCACAAATAATATGGTATGAACAAAATAATTCTACTATTCCCGTTAAGTTAGATTTATCGTCTACCGTTGGCATATGTTTTCACTTAATTTTAAGGTGACACTGTTAACCGATGTCCTGATATTGACAGATATACTATTACAAGCGAACCAAGGCTAACAATAATGCCTCCGGTCTTCTCCAAGAAATTGCTCCGATTGAATGTGTTCATGAGCAGGAAAAGAAAGCTGCTCAAGCAAAGGGAAATACGCTGGACTGTACAATTTCATGCAGAATGTAGTACAGCGAAAAACAAGTTGGAGGTGATTATCTACCTATAGTCCATGTTCTCTCTCTCTCCTTTTTTTTAAATGCATCTCAAATTGGGCAAGTTACTCACCCGTCAGGTAAGTCCATATTTTGTAAAGGAAAAAGAAAATGCAGAATATCTGCTACTTCTTGGATTAATCTTCATGCATAATGCAACAGGAATCTGGTCGACATGCAGAAGCACTCAATGCCATAACCAATTATCTGGATATGGGTGCCTATAGTGAGTGGAATGAAGATAAGAAACTTGATTTCCTGACCAAAGAGGTCAAACGGAAGAGGCCACTAATACCTCCTAACATTGAGGTGATTTAGACTTGCATGTTTAGTTTTTTAGTCTAATGTATAAAATAATAATACAAACATATAATGATCAACAATTCACATCTTTTTACCGATTCTTCCTTAATTTTGATGCTATAGTGCATGACTTGTTAATTTTGAATTTGGTAATGCAGACAACCGTGATGAAGGGTTGTGATCGTACGATCGGGAATCTCCTATACACAGTAAATTGGAAGTTTGGCGCATGTACTTATATCTCACAGACTCTAATACTTTTGTGGTTATTTCCCTGGCATAACCTTTATGAGCTTAAGTTGGTCAATGAAAGAAATCGAGATACGGCATTCATTGAATGTTTTTTTAGAACACATGACTGTTTGAATACATAATCACTAACAAATTTTAAATCTACAATTCTTAGTGTTCAAAGGGAGGACGTGATGAGGACTGTCTATAGTGATCATCAGGTAACGAGACTATAGCTTTCAAAAATCATGTTTAGCTAATTCCTATCCACTTCAAGAATTTTAAACAAAGGTATTGATTTTGACTTCTTATGGATGAGCATAAGTTACCGAAAAGAAGCTCCACCTCCAACTCTCTTTTTATTTTGAATCAATGAATTAATCCGTATTCAGCCAATTGTGGGGTAGTGTGCTAAATTGAATTATACACCCTGTTTTTTGAGAGGGTGTATGCATGATGGGTGACATAGAATGATCATGATAGGATGGCTAGGTGATTGAGATAATGAGATTTTGGAAATTTAATTTTCTTCTCTGTTTTTCCAACATTTGGCCCTTGGGTAATTTTTGGTACATTGTTGACAATTCTCCTGGCATAGTGCTAATAATGGACTAGATCAAAATGGCTC